TGCGCACCGTACCCCCCCCCCCCCCCCCCCCCCCCCCAATATGATCAGCGACAATGCTACTGACCCCTCTTCCTCTCTCCTTTCGTCCGAGCTGATTGCAAACAGCTTGAGTCGCTCTGGGTTCTGTGGTGGCTCTTTGCCAGAACCACAGCTGGCCTGCGTTTTATGCTGCATGTTAAAAGAATTAACAGTCAATTCATCAGGTCCGTTACAGCTCATAGCACAGCACAGTGAAAGTGAGTCCCCCCTAGTTACTTTTAGTATTTACAGTATATTTTCTTGAGTAGATTTTTTTTAGGTTGTGTTCCCTCGATGAATTTGGTTTAACAGGCTGTTATGCTGTATTTTCCCTCAGTCTCCTTTTCATTGTTCTCTTTTTTTCCCAATGAAGTGGCCTCTGAGTAAGCTGCGGTTTGATTGTTTCTTTGTTGTGTTATTTATTTTAAGCTATACAACTTCCAGCCTGCAGTGTTCACACTCTCTCTTTAATGATCCCGTGCTCATTGTCTAATTTAGTTTCACCGCAGGGACAAATCAAGTTTAATTTATGCTACAGTATGCAACTCCAATCAGTTCTATCCACAAGACAAATTAAACAATGTGAATCAGCCACAGAATTAAAACCACCTGCCTGACACTTTGTACATTGTTGTTGTCCTGAAAAGACCTGCAGAGAGTTCTGCGGAGTCATGGATCCCTCAGGTCTTGTTGATTTTTTGAGATGGGTGTGTGTGTTCATTCTGCCACCACAGGGTACAGAGGATTAGTTTGGTTAAAATGTAAAACCACAGTGGTTTTATTGTGGTGTGTAGTCGGTGGTAGAAAAATCCCTAAGGTTAACACTCCTGTTGCAGATTTGATAACAAACCCAGGCTACAACACCTCAAAACTTCTAATTATCCCAGATTTTTTTTAAGTATTCTGGATTCAAAATTTTAAATAATGAGTAAAAAAGTATATAGTGATGAAGCTCAGAAACACCAAAGTATCTCACTCAAACTGTGTCATGACTGAACAGAATCATTAAACCTAGTAGGTTTTATTAGAAAAACAAATGAGCTGATTTTATTCACAAATATATTTTAAGCATTATCACCTCTGATTACACAAAGTTTCTCAAAATTCATCTAAAAACTTCTTGGATGAGAGGTTAAACATCTATATGAACCAAAAAAAGAAGTCCAGCTGCCTTGTATCTCAGCTTTTAGACAAAGATATATTTGATGTCATCTTCCCTGGAGGTGTTTTCTCACTTTCACTCAGAGCAGCTGCTGCCACTCTGTCATCTGTCTTTTCAGGAAGATGATTTCAGTTCAGCAGATCTGACATCCAGTGACTGAGTCGAGAAAAAATAAAATTAATTTCAAGCTTGTTCCATAAAGGCTAAGCTCTTCAACTGCCTTCAGGATTTTTCTTCCAGTGAATGCTGATTTAATGTATGTCTCCTCACATGACAGCTTCTGTATTTTCCATTTTTTTACCCATCAGGAATCTTACCTTATTTTCTAAAGAAATTAAACATCGGAGAATAAAACACTTTTAACCACACAGAATAGCTTCACAGTCCAGTCTGAAACAGGGATCTTTGATGACTGACTTTTGGAGAAGTTGGTTGTAAAAATAGCCTTTTTTAATAATCAGACAGCTCTCACTTTCATTACTGTGAATGCTTCCATCTATTCAGAGTCCAATGTACTTTAGATCCAATTAAGAGAAGCTGTTGACCTGAACTCAAAGCAATTAGATGATTTTTTAATATGAACCTCTAAATTTGAGGCATTTCTTCCTAAATTTCTTCAAATTTCTCTTATTTGTGAAGAAATAAAGTCAAAGCAAATGTGCAAGTCCGACTGAGTGACAGATTAAGAATCACGTCTGCAAGCCCTCCACCTCCAAAATCCACCCCACTCTCAGTCCAAGGCCACGTTCGGCAGAGGAGCAGATTGTGTGGGAGTCAGTTTTAATGTAATCTCCTCTGTTTAATTAGAGTGAGCGTGGTGGGCAGCTAAAGCAAACCACATTACTCACCATCTGGTGGGGAGCATCACTGCTCTTACCCCCACTCACTATCATTAGCCTCTACAAGACAAGATACAAACACATACATGACAGCCGTTTATTCATCCTGCCACTTTCAATGCAGACTGAGCCACATACCATTTAGCGACGCGCTGGTGCTGAGACCTGTCATAAACGCACTGCCCTGTAATTACAGTATGTTGCACAACAAAGCCTCCAAATTAGAGTAGTTGGACAAAGACATAAACTGTCCGGCACGTGTGCCACAAAACACCATGTTTTTGTTTCACACGTCTTTAACCGTGGCCTCCATCAAAAATGAATAAACGTTCAATGCACTGAACCCGTTTTTACTTTTGAAATCAAAGCAATCAGTATCCTAAACTGAATCTTTGAAATTTAGACATCAATATTTTAGACTAGATTGGTTGTAGTTGTTGATCTCCACCACAAGAGGGCAGCATGTCACCACAGCTGAGCTGACTGGTCTGATTTCCTGTTGAGCTGCATCATTTACCTGAACATCCAACAGGGTGATTATGTTCTGACACTAACGGCCAACCTTCTAAACCATATGACGGTGTAAAGGTCAGTTCAGCCATTTCTGAGCATATTAATTTTAAATAAACCTTTACAAACATTTTACCCCTGACTGCTATTTGATCATGACCTGTCTGTGAATAAAAGATATTTCAGGCTTACTGAAACACAAGATTGTACAGCTACTGATCACATTTTCTTATCGGTTATTTTTGATTTGAGATGATCAAAATGAAGGTGTGTGTATGTTGTATTTTCAAAAGATTTAAGATTTTAGTTCTCACGATTTATCAATGTCCCAAGCTTTAATTAGCTTGTTAATGCTGTTCAGTCATTTTTAGAAAAGGTCACTGGATGCAAATTAAAAAAAGGGGGAAAAAGAAAACACCTCATTCTTTGTCCCAATAATCACAAGCCATGGTTCCCTAGGATGCCACCAAGGACAATGAAAATTAGAATAATTGAAGCCCACAAATTGGAGAAGTCTTTAACAGATAACCTTTGCACAGTTTCTAATTTAATTAGGAAACGGCAGTAAACTCAGTCGGAGGAGGTCGTCTTGAAGGGTTTGAAAGGTGACGAAAATTCAAGCTGCTAGACTGAGAACAATCAAAACAAAGTTTTTGATGCCACAAACATTTAAGGAAATGCAGTGTTTTGATTGGCTGAGGACCCCTCTGAACAGCAGCACTTGTAGAAACAATCTACAGCAGGTAAAATAAGTATTGAACACGTCAACATTTTTCTCAGTAAATATATTACTAGAGGTGCTAATGACATGAAATTTTCACC